GAAAAAGCAAGCCACGGCCCGGGGGAGGATATTCACAATACATATATCTGACATAGGATTTGTATCTAGATTATGTAAAGAACTCCTAAAAATCAATTTTAAAAACGGGCAAAACACTTGATAGGCCCTTCACAAAGGAGGATGTCCAAATGGAAAGTAAGCATATAAAAAGTGCTCAATATAAGAAATCATCAAGGAGATGCAAATTAAAGGCACAATGAGATACCACCACACCATCATTAGAATGGTCAAAATTAAAAAGAATGTAAGGGGAATTCCCTGGTGGTCCAGTGGTTAAGACTCAGAGTTCATTGCCAAGGGCCTGGGTTCAATCCCTGGTCGGGGAATTAAGATTCCGCGTGCTGTGCAGCACAGCCAAAAAAGTAAAGTAATATAAAAAGAATGATAGGATGTTGTCTAGGATGTTTAGCAGTTACATTGCTGGTGCGAGTGAAAAATGATCTGACCACTTTAGAAAGCTATTTGGCAGTTCACAGTAAAGCTAAACACATGTCTGCCCTGTGACTCAGTAATTTCACTCTTAACTATACACCTCACAAAAATGAGTGTATTTCATTTCATTCACACAGAATGTATCTACCGAAAGACATGCACAAGAGTGTTCAGAGAAGCCTATTCATAACAGCCAAATGTCCATCAACAGAAGAATAGGTAAGTCAACTGTGGTACAAACATATACGACATATATATTTACTACATGATTCCAGTTCCATGACCTTCTAGAACAGGCAAAGCTAATCTATCCTGGTTACTTTTAAGGAGGCTATTGACTGGAAGAGGGAACTTTCTGGAGTCCTGAAAATGTTCTCTATCTCAGTCTGCGTGGTGGTTACAAAGTAGTGTTCATTTGTGAAACTTCATTAAGCCATACACTTAAAATTCATGCACTTCACTGTTTGTATGTTATAATTCAATGTTTAAAGTTTACCCCCCAAAGACTCCTTTTTATCCCTTTATGTGTCACAAATATTTTATTTTAGACAAAGTCTTAGTACAGAACCTGTGCTGTTTTATGAATTTCCACTTGTCGCCTATAAAAGGTCTGCTTATAATTTACGTATATACCAACCTGTTCACTGGGTCAAATGTGGCAAATTGACCCAAGAAAATTTGGTTACTCACAATTATTAGATAATTGGGGGGAATATTAGAGGCCTCCAGTTGTCAGATATAGGATTGGGCTCTAGGTTTCCCCCCAAGAAACTCATGCTCAGGTGATCTGTTACAATGAAGGCAGGTCTCAGACAAGATTCTGTCATACATTTGAATATCTATTAGCAGGAAGACAAAAAACCGGTCCTACAACCCATTCCCAAAGCTCAGGGAGACACTGAATTTCTGGCTTTTAGGCACTCTGACATTCATCTTACACACACACAAAAATAGAAAAGTCTAGCACAAGCCAAGCAGCCTCAGAGTGGTGCTCTCGGCCTGGAGCTTTGATTTATTTGAGTATTCTGCCACTTAGTGACAGATTTGTTGCCTAACTGTGACCAAAAATCTAGCAATATTGCTTTTATTTTTTATTTTTTAAATCTCATTTAATGGTAAGTCCATTCTAGGAGGCCATCAGGGCTGGTATGACACTCTAGGATGTCAGGGACTTGGCTCCCTTCTATTGCTGCTTTGCCATACCTATGGTGTTGCCTTCATTTTCTTGGTCCAATTTTGCTCATGACCACATCCACACCTAGCTAGTGGGAAAAGAACAAACTCAGTCTCTTTAAGAACGAGCTAGAAATTGCACACATCACTTTTCCATCTCATTGACCAGACATGGTCTTATTTAGCTGAAAGGGAGACTAGAAAAAATGCAGTTTTAATCTCTGATTGGCCATGCGTTTGGTTAAAAATCAGGGGTGATATTATTTATTTATTTATTTATTTATGGCTGTGTTGGGTCTTCGTTTCTGTGCGAGGGCTTTCTCTAGTTGTGGCAAGGGGGGGCCACTCTTCATCGCGGTGCGCAGGCCTTTCACTATCGCGGCCTCTATTGTTGAGGAGCACAGGCTCCAGACGCGCAGGCTCAGTAATTGTGGCTCACAGGCCCAGTTGCTCTGCAGCATGTGGGATCTTCCCAGACCAGGGCGCGAACCCGCGTCCCCTGCATTGGCAGGCAGACTCCCAACCACTGCGCCACCAGGGAAGCCCAGGGGTGATATTATTATAGAGGAAGGGGAGAGCCAATACTGGGGATAAGTAACAGTCTCTGCCATAATGACAAAATTGGTCAGGCTGCAACCCTTCTCAGAAGAATTTACTTAGTTGATTATTTCTTCCTTGAAACATCCTCCCCCTTTAGTTTCTATGGCACCATATTTTCCTGGTACCTCTCAGGCTGTGCTTATTCTAGTTCCTGTACATGCTTCTCTTCCTTTATCCAGTATCCAAAAAGTTGGAATGCTAGAGGGTTCAGTCTTGGGCCCTCTTTATCTTCACTGTCTGTACTCTCTCTAGGAGAGCTCATCTAATGCCATGGCTTTAAATGTCTTCTATATGCTAATAACTCCAAAATTTGTATCTCCAACCCTGACTTCTCCCCAAAGTTCCAAACTCATTTACCAACTGTCCACTTGACATCTCTACCTGGATGGCTAACAAGTATTTCAAACTAAATGTTTAACTAAGCTAGAATAATGCCATTATCCTGACTAATTGTTCTTAATGTTGGAGGAAGGGCAGGGGAAAAGCAATAACCATCTCTTAGTATTTAGAAATGTAAGGGGATTTTTCACTGCCACAATGGTTAGGGCTGCTACTTATATTTCTTCTAAAACTTTTTTTTTTTTACTCAGCATCATGTTTGTGAATTTCATCAGTGTTAATGCATGCAGTTTTGGTTTATTTGTTTTCATCATTGTATAGTTTATTATTTCATTGTTTAATTACACCGCAATTTAGTTACCCATTCTTTTTTGATGGACATTTAATGGATTTCCAATTCTTTACATTTATATACTATGCTGCTATGAATATTCTTGAACATGTCTTCTTATGCACAGATGTAAAAATTTCCCTAGAATATACTTTTAGGAGTAGACTTTGGGGCCATCAGCTATGCATATCATAAACTTTAGCAGATATTACCAAGTTGCTCTCTAAAATAGTTCTACTAAATCTACACTCAAAGAGAAGGTCTTTTAGTATATTATCCTACAAAGTTATGTTGTTAAAGAGATGGACATCAGCATGAGAGAGAGTCTTCTTGATGCTTCATCTGAAAAAAGAACCTTCCTGGTATGCAGCCAGGAATCCATTTTCCCTAAAGGGTGGTGGCTGCATGGAGCTTGGCTCCTAGAAGAGAGACAGAGACAGAGACAGAGATAGAGACAGAGACAGAGAAAGAAAAGGAGAAGAAAAGAAAGAGAAAGTAAAGGATCAGGGACCTGACAGGAACACTAAATGTTTTGCAGTAAGTGGTTTCTGGTAACAGACTGTATCTGCGGTTCTACCCAGACATTGTGCAGGCATAAAAGGAGCAGGGTCATTTGTTTAGGTGTCACTGTCTCTAGGCAGAGTCTGGGTCTTTTCATTCCCACTGCCAAGCTCCACACCAGGACATTAGTAGGCAGGTAGTAAATACTATGCTGAACAGCTGAGTGGGCATACGCTGACATGCATATGATTTGCCCTGTTAAATACCTATATTCTCACTGACTTGATCAAAAAGTGAATTAAGTTTTTATTTTGTCTGGTACAAAGTAGAGACTAGATAAATATTTGTTGAGTGGATAAAAGAGAACATGATTCATTTGAATTTAAACTACCTCAGCATAACTCTATTAATTTTTTCTCATTGACTTAACGTTATGTCTGGATTGAACCTATAACTGAATTTTTTTCCAAATAAATTCATTTGATCTGTTTTGGGACTGCCAAAAAACTCTGAAATCACTTAATAGGCTATTTCACCAATACCATTTTAAATTTTCAAGAAAACTCAGGGGAAAATAAAAGATTGCCTCACCACAAGAAAAAACTCCTTTAAGTGACTAAAACTATTGTGCAAAAAGTATACTAATAGAAAAGGGCTCTTGGGAATTCCCTGGCGGTCCAGTGGTTAGAACTCCGCGCTTTCACTGCCGTTGGCCTGGGATTCAATCCCTGGTGGGGGAACTAAGATTAAAAAAAAAAAGAAGGCGGCTCTAGCAGACCAACAGACTTCTGCACTAGATGACCTTTCAGTTTTTTTAAATGACGTTTTTTGTTTGTTTTAAATTAATATATGCTGCTCCTCTTCCTATATGCCACGCACAGTTCCCAGCAAGGTACATATGTTGTATCACATTTAATGCTCACGACAACGGTACGAGGTATAAGATATTTAGCATTGGCCCAATTTTATATGTGAGGGATAGAGAAGTTGAGTAACTTGCCCAAGATCGCACAGCCTGTAAACTGGAGAGCCGTTATTTGAATGCAGGCAGTCTGGTTTCAGAATTCCAGCTCTTTTTTTTTTTTTTTTTTTTTGGCGGGGCTGCGGATCGTGCGGGATCTTACCTGGACCAGGGATCCAACCGCGTGCCCCCTGCAGTGGGAGCGCAGAGTCTTAATCACTGGACCGCCAGGGAAGTCCTCAGAGTTCCAGTTCTTAAACGATCTACTGTATTGTTTTCTCAACTCTAAGATTCCATGAATTTTTCACTTTTTTAAAATTTTACTTGTCATTTTTTTGAGGGGGAACTATTACGGATAATTAAAACAATTTTTTAAAAAGTATAATCTGAAAAAAGTCAACCACTTCACGTGAATGGACAGCCTAAGGAAGGGCTGGAAATACAAGTTCTGTCCAGAAATACTTAAATATTTAGCCTAATATCCTCCAAGGTCCCGCTGGCCATTTTAACCCAAACTCCTCGAACTGAGGGCGGGACTTCTCCGGCCTTGGGAGCCCGCGGCAGCAGCGCATGCTCAGAGCGCGGAGCCGGCTCGGGCCCGCCCGAAGCCCCGCCCACCCTGGCCGCAAGGGCTGCCGGGACAACCCCCATCTTCTTTAGGCGCGTTGGGCAAGCTGGCGACGCTAGGGATAGGAGACGTCGCTGTCGCTGTTAGTGACCCTGTGGCGCGTCTCTGTGGGACCGGGAACTTAAAGGTGAGCAACTCCAGGTGGCTAAAAAGAAGGTACAAAAGGGTCTGCTTTGCGTGGTGCGCGACGGCGCGTTCCCTTTCCTTGCTGCTTCACGCTGGTTGCGTGCGCTCCTCGCCTTCCTCGCGTTCGGGGCGAGCGCCTCGTGGGCCGCAGCCGGAGGCGGCGCGCTGGGCTGGGGAGTGAGGGGCGCGGGCAGCCGCGAGGTGGGGAGCCGGCCTCTGCGTTCCTCACAGGAGCTAGGGTTCCCCCGCACGTGGTTGGGGCACAGGCGACCGAGGGGTTGCTTTGGGACGGGCTGTGGCGGGTTCTTTGGACCCAGGCTGCCCGCATCCCCACTGCGTCTTTAAGGTTTCGTACCTCCACCGCTTTCCAGTGTCGCCGAAAGCGGATGTTTCTGTCAGACTGTGTACGTTTCTGGAGAGGTCGACGTGGGTTAAACGCCGAAGTGTTCCTTGGATCGTGTGGGACAGATTGGAGGCCGGGGAATCGGGGCCGCAGGTGTTCCCCTGGCGTCACTCTCTTGGGTTTTAAAGGTCCTCATTCACTCACATCAAGGCTTCTGAGCGAAATTGGAAAGTGAGGGTAATATTTCACTTCTAGTTGTATGTACATTCTGAGAAAGTATCTCATGAAGTTCCAAAATTGGGTAGGCCAAAGAAGTCTTACAAAGACGAAATAGGTCTTTTATCTCACCCTTTGTTTTATAGGGGGCCCTAGATCACAGTAATAACTTAGGAATTATGATCGGCAGCCAAAGCGTAAGATTGGCCAAATTTTGTAGTGAGATGTTGCACCATAGGAGGGCTTCCAGTGTGCATCCAGGTTGTATTGCATAGCAATTACAAATTGTAAAGCCATGCCTCCAAGAAGTGTACCAGTCATAGTTCATCGCTAGAGTTAATTAATGGCAGATATCCTTGATGAATTCTTTTAAATATACTGTTGTACACGGTGTTTGGATGGTTTTAATGGAGCACTAGAAGCAAGTGATTTGAAGTCAGGAGACTGTTATCCCTAGCAAACCAACTTCACAGCTTTATTTTTTCCTACAATGCTATTGTCAGGGATGTGAAACAGGAAACTGGCTGTAAGGTTAACCAATGTATTAGTAAATTAGTAGGCATATGCCCAGTTTAATGTTGTATTAGTGTCCTCAGGTTCTCAAATGATCATTTGCCTATGTTCCTTATCATTAGCATTTATTTAATCTAACCCTGACTGTATGTAGTGTTTGAATTTTTTTTACCTTAAAGTTTTGATACATAATCTTGTTGATAACAAGTTTTTGGTAAGTCAGCTATGACTAATTTTAAACGAAATTCGGCCCACACCAAACAAGACTGAGATCCACAGTAATATACTGACAGATGATGATCTACTTAAACCTGGTAATGATTGGTAAGTGGTTGAATGGAGATTTTTCCCTCAAAGCTTTCTAGATCAGCTAAATGAAGATAACCACTCACTTTGTTATAGAAGATGGAACAGTGATTTACTGGAAGGGGTGTGGATTATCCATAGATTTTCATCACTAATTTCAAAGTTTTCTTTTGTTGAAATTTGAGAATTGAGTAGAGAAATTGAACCCATGAAATTAAAAATTACTGATTTTTAGGAAAACAGTGGGATATTGATAATTTTAGAACATTCTTTTAATGGTCTTGAGTTTTACGTAAAAAGTAAATAACTTTTTTATGCCAATTTGGGAAATTTTACAGATAGCCAGAATGGCAGAAAATGGTGATAATGAAAAAATGGCTGCTCTGGAGGCCAAAATCTGTCATCAAATAGAGGTATGATTCCTGTGGTATTACACTGCAAAACCAGGCTCTTTGAGAGGAAATTTAGGGCCTCAAAAAAAATACAGATAGACCATTTAATTTCAGTATATTGACCTATTGAACTTTTGGGTTGTCTTTGATTCTTGGAGTTAGATAAACATACAGTAGTATACAGTTTTATATTGGTGGAGCCTGTTTCTGAAACTCAAGAACAAAGACATTTCAAAAGGTAACACTATAGTGTTAGTTAACTTTTTTCTCCTAGTCTGTAAAGCGAGGATAATAGTGTACCCTCCTCATAAGGTGGTTGTGAGGATTACATTAGTTCACAAAATGTAAAACATTTGGAATAGTGCCTAGCACATAGTAAAATAATTTTTAAAATCCTTTGTAAAATGCCTTCCCTGTTAAATAGCACTTTATTCTTGCAGGTCCTAGTAGTTTTTCCTGCCCAATTAGGTGTTCTCAGCCATTGTAACTTTTTAAAGGTGTTTTTTTGTTTGTTTGTTTTTTGGGTTTTTCTTTTTTTGGTGGTGTTTTTTCTTTTTTTTTTTTTGATGTGACCATTTTTAAAGTCTTTATTGAATTTGTCACAATATTCTGTTTTATGTTTTGGTTTTTTGTCCGTGAGGCATGTGGGATCTTAGCTGGAACCTGCAGCCCCTACACTGAAAGACGAAGTCTTAACCACTGGACTACCAGGGAAGTCTCAGCTATTGTAACTTTTAAGAGTATCTGTTTTCTCTTAACATTTTTTTTGAATTTAGGTATTGTATTTAAGTTGGTGCTTTACAGTATCAGTAATGGCTACATGGGAAATTATCTCTTAATTTATGTTTTATATTCTTAATGAGGAACTTCAGATCATATTGTTTGGTGTTTTTTTTGCAACTCTCAGAACTTTTTCAAAGTTGCACTTCTCTGTTATTTTAAATTTCCTGTGTTACAGCTTTTTTTTTATTAATTTCTTTATAATTGTGAAGAAAACTGTATATAGAAAAAGTTAATAATGTCCCACAACCTGCCACCTCTCAAATCTCACCCTCTTGAGGTAATCAAGGTTAAAAGCCTGATAAATACCTTTTCACAAATTGGTCAGTGCTCACAGTAACATAATTTTTTCCCTTTTCCCCCCACCAAACATAGGATGCATTATGGGGGAGTAGTTTTGTATCATCAGTAATTTACACCATCCCCTATTTGATATGTAGGACATATCCAATTTTTTAGCTGTAGTAATTCTACGATGAATATCTTTATATATAAATGTTACTAAACATGTTTATTGATTTCTCTAAGATAAAATTCCTAGAGGGAGATGTACTGCCTCAAGGGTTATACATGCTTTTTAGAACTTTTGATTTTTTTTTTTTTTGTGGTATGCGGGCCTCTCACTGTTGTGGCCTCTCCCGTTGCGGAGCACAGGCTCCGGATGCGCAGCTCAGCGGCCATGGCTCACGGGCCCAGCCGCTCCGCGGCATGTGGGATCCTCCCAGACCGGGGCACGAACCCGTGTCCCCTGCATTGGCAGGTGGGCTCTCAACCACTGGAAGGAAGCCCCCAGAACTTTTGATTTTTGATACTTACTGCCAGTTAACATCTCTACCTGCATGACCATTTCTCTGTGTTCAGGCCAATACTGGGTATTCTTGTCTTTAGAGTTTTGGCTAAATGCTTTTCATTGCTTTAAATTACATTTATTTGGTTAATAGTGAGCTTGAACTTTTTAATGTTTATAGTATATTTTTATTTTTAGTAATTAAAAAAAAATGTCCTTTACTGGGACTTCCCTGGCAAACAAGTGGTTAAGACTCCATGCTTCCAATGCAGGGGGCACGGGTTCCATCCCTGGTTGGGGAACTAAGATCCTGCATGCAGTGTGGTGTGGCCAAAACAAAAGTGTCCTTTACTCATTTTTCTATTAGGGTTTTCAGAGGTTTTTTTTCTTCTTTGTTGATTTATAAGAAGTATTAATAAGCTTTTGTGTTTGTCTTTTACTTTTTATGCTACTTTTGGCATTCCAAGTAGTCACACCTTAGTCTTTTCATGTATACTTTTTTCTTTGTTTTTATACTAAGGAAGAGTGCCTCTGTGCTTAAATTAGGTAAATACTCACCCAATTTTTTTTTAACCTCTTTATTGGAGTATAATTGCTTTACAATGGTGTGTTAGTTTCTGCTGTATAACAAAGTGAATCAGCTATACATATATCCCCATATCCCCTCCCTCTTGCGTCTCCCTCCCACCCTCCCTATCCCACCCCTCTAGGTGGTCACAAAGCACGGAGCTGATCTCCCTGTGCTATGCAGCTGCTTCCCACTAGCTAGCTATTTTACGTTTGGTAGTGTATATATGTCCATGCCACTCTCACTTCGTCCCAGCTTACCTAATTTTTTAACTTTTAAATTTTTCTATTTTTTTAAAAATTAGAGTGATTAATCAGATTATTCTAGTTTCTTAAATTTAACAATCTGTTCTTTCCACACTGACTTGAAATAAGAGGCTTTTCATATACCAAATCCTTAAATATGTTTTTGTTTTAAGGCTTTCTAATCTGTTGTCACATCTGCTAAATATATTGTTTCAATAATTATTTTTAGTTTTATCTTTCTGTTAATATGTATTATAAATATTACAGTGTATTTAAGAGAAAATGTTTATTGCCAGGTTTTTTTTTTTTTTTTTTAATATTTATTTATTTTGGCTGTGCCGGGTCTTAGTTGTGGCATGGGGACTTCTTAGTTGTGACATACCTGTGGGATCTAGTTCCCCGACCAGGGATTGAACCTGGGCCCCCTGCATGGGGAGCATGGAGTCTTACCCACTGACCACCAGGGAAGTCCCACCAGTTAAGTTTTGACATGTATTTTTAAGACTAGGACTTGGTGATGTAGTGGTAATTTTTTATACTCAGTATTATACAGTGCTCTGCAATATACTGTAATTATCTTGCAGTATTATTTTGGTGACTTCAATTTGCCACGCGACAAATTTTTAAAGGAACAGATCAAACTGGATGAAGGCTGGGTACCTTTGGAGATAATGATAAAATTTAATAGGTAAAGACCTTTTTTAAATTATAAGATTTTCTGCTAACAGCAAGTGCTACTACTAAGTTTTACAATGCTTTTATATATATATTTTTGCAGGTTAAACCGTCTAACAACAGACTTTAATGTAATAGTAGAAGCATTGAGCAAATCAAAGGCGGAACTTATGGAAATAAGTGAAGATAAAACTAAAATTAGAAGATCTCCAAGCAAACCCCTCCCTGAAGTGACTGATGAGTATAAAAATGATGTAAAAAACAGATCTGTTTATATTGTAAGTGGGCCTTTAATGCATATAATTATATCTTAAATTTATTTAGAAAGCACATAAGGTGGATAAGAATAAGGGCTCAGGAATCATAGCTTCACCACTTACTGTATATCCTTGGGCAATATTCTTAGCCTCTGTAAGCTTTATCTTCATAAATGGGGATAATATTTTTTACCTTATAGAACTGTTGTGAGAATTAAATGAAAAAACCCATATAACATCGGACAAAATCTTTGACATACATATTGTAAGTACCCAGTGCACATCAACTGTTCTTACTTATCAACAGCTAAACTTGTTAGCTGTTTTCTTTAGCACATTAATTTTTAAGTAGATTTTTTATTCTGCAAAAATTCAGACATACAGAAGTAGATTGAATATATAATGTACCATTATCCAACTTCAACAGTTACTAACGTGATTAATCTTGTTTTATCTTTGGCCTATCTGGATTATTTTGAAGTGAATCCCAGATAAACGAGTCATTTCTATTGCACTGGTCAACAATGGCTCTTAACCAGAGCTATTAAACATTTAAGAGACAGAGAAAGAGAGATATATATATCCTCGCTTCATTTCAAGACAAAATAAATCAGAATTTCTGACAAATCGTTTACTTGAGTTGTCATTTGTACATTTCTTCCTACTCTTCACAGAAAGGCTTCCCAATTGATGCAACCCTTGATGACATAAAAGAATGGTTGGAAGATAAAGGTCAGGTACTAAATATTCAGATGAGAAGAACATTGCACAAAGCATTTAAGGTATGGTTGTATGATGTAACAGACATTTTCTAGTAGAAAAATACTGGGGATGTAACTAAAAAAAAACCCCAACTTTTCTTCCACTTCTAATAGGGATCAATATTTGCTGTATTTGATACCATTGAATCTGCTAAGAAGTTTGTTGAGACCACTGGCCAGAAGTACAAAGACACAGACCTGCTAATACTTTTCAAGTAAGTCAACTTGCTGATGTTTTTTTTTTTTTGGCCACTTAGTTGTCTGGAATTGACACACTGGGGTAAGGAGTATAGCATAACATTCCCTACAGTAAGACCAGTATTTTTAGTATCCTTAGGCATCCTTTGAGAAATGCTTGAAGTTTGCTCACTGGAACTACTAGTCCTTTGAGACTGTAAGGAAGTGTTAGGACCTTTTCAAGCACGTAATAAGGGAGGTTAAGTTTTAGTACTTATTTTGCATGTGAAACTTATAGTTAGGCTTGATGATAAAATCTAAGCTTTTGGTGTGGTTAGAGAATAAATCACTGTACAATTTTTTTATCTATTCTCATAATCTATATATGCCTGTATTTTTATACAGTACAAAGGATTATTTAATAGAGATTTGAATCACATTCTTGGTGTGTGTGTGTGCACACCTGTGTGTCTAAAAATTAGGACAAACCAGGACATTTTCATGATATGGTTGTAGGGCCATAATCCCCTACTTTTGCATTGCACAGTCTTCTAAATGCTGTATACTAAATCTGATGGGCTTAGAGATGCACAGTGATAAATCATGCTGTCAGTGTTAAACTCTCAGAAAGATTTTTTTAACTTGTGATTTTCATAATTGCTCTTATTCTTGGGTCTCAGGGATTTCAGAATTTTTGCTTTTGTGAAATTAACACTAAAAAACTATGAAGCAAAGTAGTTGCATAACTTTTGGTATACTTTCTTTTTTCTATACATGAAAAGTGAAAATCAGCATGAGGTTCTTAGCGAATATAGGGTTTCTTTTTTGTGGTGATGAAAATGTTCTGAAATTCATTAGTAGTGATGATGTACAATTCTTAATATACTAAAAGTCATTGAATTATATGCTTTAAAAGAATGAATTTTATGGCATGTGAATTCTTTCTTAGTAAAGCTGTTATTTTAAAAAATAAGAGTGACTTCCTTAATGTATTTTGAACTTATAGGTAATTTTGTTGAGAATGTAACATTCATTCTTGTGCGATGTCTTAAATCATTCAATGTAATTTGCAGTCCTCTTTGTTCTCATGAACTTATTAGCCTTTATATTTTGTGTCCTTCAGGGAAGATTACTTTGCAAAAAAAAATGAAGAAAGAAAGCAAAATAAAATCGAAGCTAAATTACGAGCTAAACAGTAAGTATGTTGAGCTAATCATAATATTTTAGTTCCTTAAAGCTTTGACAGGTAAAATTATTGGTTCTGGGAAGTGAGGCTGATGATGAGCTCTGAAATGAGTACAGTAGGCCTTTCTTTTGCTAATAAAACATTGAGGTCTTAAGCTGCCTTGATAATCTTGGGGCCACATTGTGTTGCACTCTAGCATCAGACAGTCAGAAGGCCTAAGGACTGGCTTTGGTTATTAAGTAGTTTAGTCATCATGCTTAAGGTTAACTTTATCAGGGTTTAATTTTCTCATACATGAAGTAAATGGAAACGTTCTAATGATATTTTTACTTGTAGAGAGCAAGAAGAAAAACAAAAGTTAGCAGAAAATGCTGAAATGGTACGTATATATTACTAAGAAATCTGTAATTCAAATTGAGGAGAATAAAAAACCTGGGGACTTTTTAAAGAACATATGTAAGCAAGTCTACAGTTGTCATAGCACTGAAGTATTAGCCAAATATTGCCTAAAATTATTACTTATTCAGCGCAGTAAGATTTATATAATAACTATTATTTGCTGGAGAAGGTAAAATCAGAAGCCATTGTAGAACAAAGGATGATAAAGGAAAATGCACCAACTACTTAAACTGTTTAAACTTACACTACTTCAAAATAGCATTTTAGTTTCTAGCTTATTCCTTGTATGTGTGTGTGTGTGTGTGTGTATATATATATATATATATACACATATATGTATGTATGTATGTATAGAGAGAGGGAGAGGGAGGTATATGCCATTTCTGGTTTGTGGTTGCTTTTAAGAAACTTACCACCTTATATATTTTTATAGAAATCTCTAGAAGAAAAGATTGGCTGCTTGCTGAAATTCTCGGGGGACTTAGATGATCAGACGTGTAGAGAAGATTTGCATATCCTTTTCTCAAATCATGGTGAAATAAAATGGATAGACTTTGTCAGAGGAGCCAAAGAGGTTTGGAAATATTCATATGCTTTTAACCACTCAGTTTAAAAATTCATAGAAACTTATCTTTTAGAAGATGACATTAGTAGAAGAAAGCAATTTTTTGTTAGTATGTTTATGAAAATAGTTTCTACTTGGTCATTTACTTTGTTTTATTATTGCTGTAACTGGATGTGATGTCTGATATTTTCTGAATTGTGCTATAAATAACTGTTGGAATTAGTGACTTCAAGTTTTTTAATAACTTCCTGATGTTCAGTAAAATTCCCTGGCCTTTGTTTTCTGTCTTTGGTGTAGGGAATAATTCTGTTTAAAGAAAAAGCTAAGGAAGCACTGGATAAAGCAAAAGATGCAAATAATGGTAACCTACAATTAAGGAACAAAGAGGTCACCTGGGAAGTACTAGAAGGCGATGTGGAAAAAGAAGCATTGAAAAAAATAATAGAAGATCAACAAGAATCCCTAAACAAGTGGAAGTCAAAAGGTCATTAATTCTGATTTTCTTTGACTATTTAACTCATTTGCTTGGGTAAAAATTTTAATTGGTGGTAAAAGACATTGACGAGAGGTTTAAAACGTTACGGATTTCTCAATTTTGTCTCTACAGGTCGCAGATTTAAAGGAAAAGGAAAGGGAAATAAAGCTGCCCAGATTGGGTCTGCTAAAGGAAAAGTACAGTTTCAGGGCAAGAAAACTAAATTTGACAGTGATGATGAACATGATGAAAATGATGCATCTAGTAAGTTTTTTAAAGTCCTTTGATGTTCTCAGATTGTGATTGACCCTGGTTATGCTATTTTACATGTGGAAAACAAAGATGTTGGGAAGCTAAGTTTAGAGAGCCAGGTCCGTACTAAAGGAAAAGCGTTTTCTCATTGGTGTAGGAAAGTTGTTGCTAATCTGTTTAAACAATTATTTTTTATAGTTATGCTTAGTATTAAAATAGAGCAATGCTTACAGTGAACTTAATGAAAATTAATTGTCATTGTATAGGACCAGAGAAAAGAGCAAGAGAAGAAACAGACAAAGAAGAAGAACCTGCATCAAAACAACAGAAAACAGAAAATGGTGCCGGAGACCAGTAATTTAGTAAACATTTTTTATTCATTTTAATTAGATTTTAAGCTGCTTTTGTCTCTGGAGGCTTTTAAAAAGAAAACCGAATTAGGTCCACTTCAATGTCCACCTGTAAGAAAGGAAAATTTTTTTGTTGTTTAACTTGTCTTTTTTTGTGGTTGTTATTGTTATCAAAATGAGTATTTTTTTATGTATAATTCTGTTTGTGTTCTTTCAGATTATTCAAATATCAAAAGAAACATCCTTCCACTAAATTGCCTTTGTAATATGAGAATGTATTAGTACAAAGTAATAAAATGTATACTGCATAAAAATAAAATTAGTTTATTTTTTATTTTTGTGCCCAAAGTATTTGAGAATTTATCTTAAACCAGCATATTGGCTGTTGTGGTTATAGGCCCATCCCAGAGTTAAGTATTTATCTTCTAGGCTGGCTTTCTGTATTCACTCAAACAACTTGATAACATTAGAAGTAATTACTTACTGTGAAGTTTTTCAGTACTGAATGTAGATAAACTAGAATCAAGAGACTTACTGATTTTCTTTTATGAAACTTGTATGATGCCGGCAGGTCATATCGTAGCTCTACAAAACAAAAGCCACCTAAGGGTAAAAATTATACTTCCAAACATTTACCGCCCTTGACTTAAAAAAAAAAAAAGAAAAAAATTAAGGAAGTACTAAATGCTGATAAGCCAAACATTTCAGAGCTGTCACTTAATTTATCCAGGACTGATTTGATATATCCCCACAATAAGCCATGGCAAACAGCCTGGCATTTGTTTTGGTCATTTTTTTTTATATCAAAATTTGAGATTATGGGGAAGAGTATAGAAGGTTAACAAGTGGTCAAAGTGTATCCCATGAAAATATGATCGTATCTTCCTATTTTTAATTTCCTAAATAATCTATAGCTACCAATTGCACAACAACCATGCTTATTTTAAAAATTTCCGGTTTGGATTTTAGTAATGGTAGTAAGTAGCTAATTATTTTCTACTGAGCTCTCAAATGAAAAACCACTTTTCATATTCTTTTCTTCTAAAGGATAATGTAGGTTCTCAAAACTTAGCACTGATCAACTTTAGAGGGATGGCAGTAAGTCTACCTACCTATGCTTCATATTTTGCAACAAATTCTAACTCTCTAAATCACAGCTTTCAACTTTTAATGTGCAATCAAATCACCTTCAAATCAAATCAAATCCTGTTCAAATGCAGATTATAATTCAGTAGGTCTGGGTGCATCCTGAAATTCTTCAAGTCTGACAAGCTCCCAAGGGATGTCGATGCTGATGGTCCACATTTGAGGACCACACTTGGAGTAGCAAGGCTCTGGCCTGGTGTGCTACTATTGGAACTGTTCTAAGGTCTGCATGTTGCATATTATAATACCTTAAACTAGGTAAGGAGTGACAATACTGAATATACTAGGAAGACAGACTTTTACACATTACATTACTAATTATTATGAAGGCAATAGATCTAGTTATGTGGTTAACACTATTAGTACTAATCCAGTCAGTTTATTATTGTGTAAAATAATTTCCCCCTTATTGTACTCTTATTTCAGGCTTTTCAGAATTACTTGGATTATAGTTAGCTTCTAGTTACATGCTTTTCCCATTTTGATGTTTGTGAATATTATCCAGCTTACTAATAAAAATGTATCAAACATGATTTACATCATGTGGCTGATGATATTCTATCCCCCACTAAAAAAATTAAAAGCTTCATGTTATTTGACTCCAGGGACAATTAGAAAGTTGAAATAGAAGGGTAATCCAGGCATTATCTGGTGGTATTTTCCAGGAATGAATTTCAAACTAAGGCCTGACAAACTCTAAGCCCAAGCTCTTAAGTCACTGTGATGATTATAAGGTTCTGTCTGAGCCTGGAAAGAACAAATACTTGGGTGCCATTAAAAATTTTCAGTAAAATGCATAAATTGGGACAGTCTTGGGCAAACATTGATACCCTGCCTTTACTCCATTTCCAACCCACTACCAACCACACACATTTTGCCACACTAAAATACATGTTCTACAATATCTTTTCTCAGCACATGTAAAAATTCTGGTTAGGCTAATGCCTGTTGGCCTTCTTAGATAATTAGAGTTGAGATTTGTTTATGAGAAACATAATTGTCTTACCTGCAATAATATCTATCTTGATTTTCCATTCTGCAGCTTTCTTTTGAATATGCTGAACATAAAATAACATGTTAATGTGAGCTGATCTTTAAAGTTTTTTAAAAATTGCTTTTTACTAATACTTGATTTTCAAGCTTTTAAAATTTCATTAGAATTTAATTTAATTTAAATTAGAATTTTCATTAAAATTTTTTCAACTGGATGAATATTTTGAAAATACAAAACCAAGCCATTTAATGATCTGAGCCAAATTACATAATTAAATTCAAGTAATAAAGCTATAATTTCAGAAGTGCATCAAAGTAAATAATGTACTCATGGTTTCTGCAGCGTTATTTCATCAATATATACAGGTATCCTAGAAACTATTCAGCAGAGATCTATGTCCATGAGCAATTCAGTGGCAATATGGTACAGAGGTTAAGGACATGGTTTCTGGAACCAGACAGCCTGCATTTGAACTGAAGCTCTATTAGCTATGTAACCCTGAGCAAATTACGCATTTTTTGTGTGCCTCAGTTCCCTCATCCGTTAAATGAGGATGATAATGATATCTCATCAGATTGTTGCAGAATGTGAAAAGTGCTTGGAACTGTGGTGGCATACAGAGCAAGTACTAAATGTTAGCTATTTATAGGTCTAAGAATTTTGAACCAGTTCATAAAATTTTTGATTACTAACTTGTTATAAAAATTGCTTTATGAATTAAAATATATACACAACACTCCAACATTAATAAAAATGGAAAAAAAAGTTGCCCATAATCCCCTAAGTAAATTTTATGCATAATTGTCTAGAACTACTGTAGTAGAGATAGCAATATTTGGTATAAGCATTTTGTTCATGTTGGTAGTGTTCACAGTACTCAAACTGATTGATAAAATACTCAACTATCCCTATGTTTGAGGTTCAAATATTTCCATTATAAACAATACTGACAATATGTTTGTGCTTGTAGTCTGTTCTTGAATTTAATAAATAATCCCAGTTCTGGGCATATTTTTCCCCCTACTTTGAGATCTAAAATTTCTGTATAAGGATATAGACTTTAATACAAATAATATTATAATTTAATGGAATACTAGGATCTTGGTAAATTTTTGAGAAATAAAGTATGATGACATTTCTTTGCTATCTGAGCCCTAAGATTAGTGAAAGAGGTTTTAGATGTTAGATTATACAATGGAATGTGGTTGGTTCTGGCAGAGATGTCAAAGAATAAATGGGGTAAGCTTGGGATAAACGCTGAAAGAACAGTGCCTGGCCTACCTACTTTGCTTTAACTATAAGCCAAGAACTAAATTCTCACAATGCCTAATGAAAGAAGATATGGCAACAGCCGCAAGAGTCATCCAGATTATTAACATATCTGCCAAGATACGCTTATATTTTACCTAAGTATTTCTACCAAAAAATTCTATCAAATGCACCTCTATTATGAATAGAGGGCCAAGCACTTTTAAAAGACAACGGTCTACAGTTAAGGGGTCTGAGGTTAGCTTCAATAACAATGTTACTAGTTATATAGAATACTTAAAACAAGCAAAACTATCACAAAGCTTAGAGCAGATATATCTACAGCATAAACTAAGGACTGTCTTAGTATTAGAAGTTCATTCATTATCATACCTCCTTCACAGTATGCACAATACACACCAGATTAATTTCTCAAATTATTTAGTTGCTGTGCTAATGGAAATACTTCTACACTGCCAAAATAAAAATGGACTTAAGTAAATATTTGCTTAAAATTCTATTAAGCGGATCCAATACAATGCTGATACTGCTGCCTCCTGGTGGTGGAACATGGCAATACCAAACAGTGAAGATGGGAGTTCCTTGACTACAGGAATTCATTCAATTAATTAGACTTTGCTGCTTAACTGCACTTTTTATTGGCATATTTTACTTGGTTTGCATGAACTGTATATCAGTAATATAAAATTTATGTTATGCCAAACTGCAGAAGAGTTCATAGCAGGCCTGACTGCTTATCCTTAGAAAGGTCTACGTGTTAAGTTTGGCCTTTGGCTAGAGTATGGGAACTTGGATTTTGGGAGAGTTTCCACTCCCCATCCCTTAATAATAGTGGCTCACTGTGCTTAAAATGTTTATGGTGAGTACCTGTTTTGTTACTGGGAGTCTGGAATTTGGGTATGTGCCAGGCAGGGGGTGCCTATGTGATGAGTACCCAATAAACACCCTTGGCACCAAGATTACAATGACCTTCCCTGGGTGACAACATTTCACATGCCTTGTCACAAAACTTCTTTGCTGGAAGAATTAAGTGCATCCTGTATGACTTCACTGGGAGAGAACTCTAGAAGCTTGCACCTGGTTTCTCCTGGACTGTGACCAATGCACCTTTCCCTTTGCTAATTTTGCTCTGTATCCTTTAGCTATAATAAATCCCAGTCAAGAGTATGATGATATGCTCAGTCCTATGAGACTTCCTTGTGAATCATCAAACCTGAAGATGATCTTGGGGACTTCCTCAACACAGGCTTTTTAGATACCAATAATTCCTGGTGTTTGTTTTCACTTACTGAATGGGGATTTATTTACCAGTAAAGTCATGTTGTGTTCTACTCCTTACCTGCAGGTACCACTACTAATTGTTTAACAGTATACAGGCATACCTCGGAGATATTACAGGTTTGGTTCCAGACCACCGCAATAAAGTGAATATCACAAGAGTGAGTCACCTGAATTTTTTGTTTCCCAGTGCATATAAAGGTTCTGTTTACACTATACTATAGTCTATTAAGTGTGCAATACTTTATTGCTAAATAATGCCAAAACAATTATAATAATATCAAAGATTATGGATCACCATAACAAATATAATAAAAAAGTTGGGAATACTGCAAGAATTACCAAAACATGACACAGAGACACAAAGTGAGCAAATGCTATTGGAAAGATGGTGCTCACAGACTTGCTTGATGCAGGGTTGCCACAAACCTTCAATTTGTAAAAAATGCATTATCTACACAATGCAATAAAGCAAATGGCAATAAAACAAGGTATGCCTGTATATATTTTTAGCTATGTAATTTTATATATTTTTAAAGGTTATTAGATTACCATATATTCATAATTTGTTTCCAACTGAATTCAAGTACACTGCATTTATACAAATAAAAGATTTTTCCTACAAAACTACTTTAAAATCTCTTAATACGTGTCTGATTTAAAACAACAGCTAACATGACAATTGCCAGACACTATTTAAGTGCTTTATAAATATTAACTCATTTAATCCTCACACCAACCCTGCAAAGTATAAGGTGCTCTTAGTTCCTCATGATGTAAGAGTATAGGTGAGTATAGGTGAGTACAGGGTAGGTGACGAAAATGAACTCAAGTACCTTGACCAAGAGAAGACAGCTGGGAAGTAGCAGAGTTCAGATTTGAATCTAGGTAGGCTGGCTCTATAGTCTGTGTTCTTGATCACTATGTTAAACTGACACTAAAAAAAGGTACCACCCCACCCCCAATTTTCTGGAATACATCCTACACAGCCTTATGTGTTATGTGCTGACAGTGAAGAACAATGGAAGAAGTGGGTTCTGAACTCAGATCAGTTTAGCCTCCCAGGCTCAGTGTTCTGAAAAACCAGGCCACCCTTGCCTCCCTTATGCACACCAGGCCACACCAGGACACTGGGATGCACCAACCAGGGCTTACACAGGCAAACAAGGACATACTGGAACCACCGTTACACCTACTCCTCTATTCCTGAATTATATAATCACTCTCCTGTTAACAGCTCCTGCCTGAACAAACCTTTGACAAAATAAAGCTAATCACAAATGCTAGCTAGTTAAAGGGAAAATTTATTTTCTAAGTGCCAGATGTTTTAAAAGTTCAGGAGAATTAGATACCCTGGTATTTAGTATTCACAGTAAATCCTTAAAATACTGTCATGAATTTAAAAATAAATGACACAGAATATTATGATGATTTGAACTTACTTCTCTAGTTGAGGATTTGTGTAAAGAATATACTGCTGTTCTTGCCATTTCCAAAGCAGTCTTCAGAAAGGCCATATCTGTCCCTGTTAAGAGTAGCAAAAGCCCCTATTTACATTATATACCTGTTATCAAAATAGAAGATTAAAGGAATACTAGGTATTTAGAAACATTTTTTTCCAAACTCCAAAATAGCCATTTCAAATTCTGTAACAAGACAGAGTACAAATAACCAAGATATCTAAATATCTTTTAAGGTTGATGGAATAAAACCAGAATTATACTGTCCCATTTAAATAAGGCTAAACTTTAATATTATATTCCAAATTAACAACTTTCAAAGAGGGCAGAAGCGAACAAGTAAAGTAGTAATCAGAATGGTGGGGGCAGGTGGAGGGAGAATTTTTTAAACTATGCGTGTCTTTTCCTCTTCTTACTGACTTCTTACCCTCCTTGCCCCCAAAATACATAAAATAAATAGCCACAGTGAATCACTGTTACTGATGGACACACGTTGAAACCTTCAAATGTTGAGACATTAAAAAGAGGTTCTAAAAATATAAAAGCCTTTATAGGGTTCATACTCATTCATAAGGGTTAGGTAAATCACTCTAGAAAGCAGATGAAGAATAAGTAATAAGTGGATACATTTGTTCATTTAGCACAAACTTATGAAAACAAAGATTGAAAAATTCAATTCCCTAGCCATGCATTAAACAAACTGAAATTCAAACTGTAATAAATATACAGGTAACAGATTGGTTTATTTAATGAACAGTGATAAAATCACTTAACCCAAACAATCAATGAGAAAATGGTTTTTAAAACTTGCTTTTCTACAAAGACACCAGTACACATGATTCTTATTACTAACCTTTATTATTTTTGGTCCCAAAGGGAGGATTCATAATTACTGTATCAAATGACTTGGACATTCTGTTAGATAATGAGCACACGTCACACTGAACCATGTCAACATTTGTTAACTCAAACTCTTCTACATTCCTATTAAATATTTCCAATGCATCTTCATCTATGTCAAATCCAACACACAACCTATAAATATAAAACACAAAGTGACTACTACTTAAAGCTCCCCAGTCAAAACAACAACAAAACCAAAACCATGTACCTTTTTAACCCAACTGACCAAGTGACAGTGAGTGTTGTCTTTTAACAGCATGATTTCCCAAACTGTCAGGGGTTGGAAACTTGGGTTCATATAAAAGAGGGGCATATGACTTCTGCTGTTACTGTTTTTTGTTGTTTTGTTTTTTTTTTTAGTTTGTTTTGATGTTCTGCCCATTCTAAATGTACTCAGTATTAGATTCTTGCTCCTCTCATCTCACACTATAGAGTCCCATAAATATAAGTCAGTTGATTTTATTTACTCTTCTTATTAAAACCATCCCATACCCAAATAGTATGTACTGGATCACATACCCTGCTCCCAGCATTGCAGTTCCGATGCTAAGCACTCCACAGCCACATCCTAGATCTGCAACCACTTTATTTTCAATGTCATCATATGTGTTATGAATTGTATAGAGCATACATGCTGAATGATCAGAAAAAACATATTAAGGAATAAGTAGGCAAGTTGATGAACAAAATCCAATTTGTGCAAATGACTCTTTGTAAAACAATTTCTTATCTTTCATTATTTAGACCTCCCCTAAATCGTGTTCCAGATTATTAAAAAAATAGTAAGGTATAATAACTTGGTATGTAGTAAGGATAATAACACATACCAGTGGTTCCACCAAACTAGTCTCTGCTGACAATGCCAAGAATGACAAAACTTTGAGGTAAAATGAGAAAAATAAGGTCAAAATGTTTTATTTTTTCTCAACCTGTTCAAAACATTGCCATACACATATACATATATCAGTTTTTCTTTGATGTTGAAATTTCACTTTTATGAAAGGATGGTAAGAGTAAATAGATTTAAAAAATTTCTTTCCTTGGACTTCCCTGGTGGCGCAGTGGTTGAGAGTCTGCCTGCCGATACAGGGGACGTGGGTTCATGCCCCAGTCCGGGAAGATCCCACATGCCGCGGAGTGGCTGGGCCCGTGAGCCATGGCCGAAGGGCCTGCACGTCTGGAGCGCTCCGCAACGGGAGAGGCCACAGCAGTGAGAGGCCCGTGTACCGCAAAAAAAAAAAGAAAATCTTTCCTTGTCAAAATATAGACCTGGGAACCCTATGTCAGTTTCCAAAATTGTTGTGAAATTTTACTGATCTTTGAAATCTGTAAGTCTGGGAACCACTAATACTGAACAAGCATTAACATTAAAACAGAACTTTTTTTGCAGCAAGTTTGTCACCATAACACAGGTACTGTAAGTTCAAGCTAGAATGGGAAAGGAAAAGACCTACATCCACAATATAGCCTTTAGACGCATATATTCACACATATATATTCATGATCTACAGACACATGTATCAACTAATGAGACCTGATAAGAGAACTATTGAGGAGCAGAACAGAAGCTGCTGAGATGAGAAAGGGATCTTTCAAATACACGAAGGTTGGGGCTATACTGAAGGTTAAGCATGAGTAACTTCACTGATACCTCCCTGTGGATATCTGAACCCACCAAGGGCTGCTGGCCATCACTGATGCCCAGGATCCAGAGGTTTTATCAAAAACACAATTACAGGGATGTGTCAGGCTGACTGTGCTGTTCTGATTATTGCTGCAGGTGTTAGTGACTTTGAAGCTAGTATCTCAAAGAATTAGCACAACCATGTGTATATTACACACTGGCTTTGAAACAACTGATTGTTATTTGGGGGAAAAAAAAAAAAAGGATTCTACTAAGAAACCCTGCAGCCAGAAGACATTAAAGAAATCATTATCTAAATTGAGATAACTGGTCTTACCTCAGACACAATTTTGTGCAATTTTTGGTTGGAATTTTGGTTGGAATTATGACAATATGTAAGTGCAGGTATACTTTTTCCTTGACTTTCTTTGGCAGCTTAGAAACAGAACTATGTTGAAGTTAGGGGGACTCCTCCTTGCAGATGTTCCCAACAAAATTAATTTTCCTAAGACTCCCTCAATGACTTTGGTAATATGTTTATTAAATATAAATGGTTTTTCCTGTGTTCTTTTACTTCCAGTATCAATCTCTCACATCAAGCAACACTGCTGATTCTCTGATCATTTGTTAAAATTGAAATGCATCCTCATCTTTAACATAGCACCTATTATGGATTTGTTAAAACTCAGTCCTTTCACTACCAACTCTAGTAACTCATTTCCAGGGCAGAGTATAACGCGTAGGAATCCTCGTACTGGCAATTCGTTACACCGGGAAATGGATCCTTATTTAGCAAGTATTTACTGAGCTCCTGAGTGGTACCAGGAACTCTTCTAGGCTCTGGGAATTGTGTGAACAAGACCAGCACATTTTTGGCCTCAAGGAGTTGATAGTGTAATAAGATTAACAAACACATTAAAAAGTGACAGTGTTGAGGGGTATGCAGAAAAACAAACAGTAAAACGATAGAGTGTCTCGTGCTTGGGATGTTTTCAGGTGCAATGTCAAGGAAGTCCTCTCTAACGCAACGTGAAATCTTAGAGCAGAATTCCTCTAGACTTTCTCTGTATCCAAATAACTGTTCTATTTTCACAATGGAATGGGTAGACAGGACTAACCTGCGAGACAAGGGCATGGTCAGCTGCCGCCCTACCTGCAATGTGCGGCCTGGTTGGATACTGTTCTAGAAGGAGCTTGGGCTTTTCGAATCCATCCACTTGTTGCAGGCGACTCTCTAGTTCCTTAAGCCTTAATTTCTTCATGTTTTAAAAAGTGTGCGTTCGCAGGGTTTAACGGCGCTGGATCTGCAGAGAAACCTACTTCACCTGGATCTCCCCGCCAACTCCGATCCCCCGCCCCTTTTTCAGGGCCGCGGGCTGAGGGCCAGGCTGGGAACGCAGGGCGCGAAAGGTACACCCGGCTCAGGCGGTTCTCGCTCTCCTTCCCGCGCCAGCGGTGGGCAGAGTCCCCGACCAGCCTTCGGTCCGCCTCCAGGGTACCCCGCGCTGATACTGGACTGGAGTCGCCGAGGGCTCCTCATGCCGCGTCTCCGCCCTTCCACAGGCTGCTCTCGCCTTGCCCGGGACCGGAAGCGCCCTCACGCACGCGCACACGCGTCCGCCATCTAGCGGCCCCACGCCGAGCTGCAACCGCGGCCCCGCGCACGGTTTCCGATGGCAGCCGAGCGCTTCCTTCGCCTCCACAGCGGTGCGGTCGGCACCCGCAGGAAAGCCGGCCTTTCTCGCGCCGCAGGGGCCGGCCCCTGCCACCTGTCGCGTGGCCACTACCGCCTAGTGTTTCCTTGAGTACCGTCAGGTCCTTGAAGGAAGTGGGGAGAAAGAGGGTGAAGGTGAGGGTGAAAGTCACGGTCGATTTGTTTTAATGCCCACTGTGGTCCTTTCTGCCTCCTGTCTCCCAAGCTCTCTCTCAAAGAGTAGCAACCTCCACTCACCTTTGCTTTCTTTGCCAGTCGCATGCCCTACTTTGTTTCCCTCTTTTTAGGTCAACTGTGTCACTTACCTCAGCTCTTACAGCGTGGTGATGTCCGAGAAGCCCAAGCAAGAGAGAGTTTAGATTAAGGAATGGGAAGTGGTGTCAAATGCTGGAAAGAAGTTAGAAGCTTTCATAGAGTAGGAGCAGAAGCTGAGTTGTCGCGGTTGGAGAACTAAATGGAAGTTAACTAAATGGAAGTTAAGGAATTAGAAAGAGTAAATGGGAACAATTCTTAAGAAAAGTGGCTAAGAGGAGTGAGAATGGCTGATGCTTAGTAAGGTTGGGGGAAGTTATTTATTTATTTATCTTTTAACTGATAGAAGGATTTGTGAACATACCTAAATTCAGACAGAATAGAGGTAGTTGAGAGGTTCAAAACGCAAGAAAGAGGATATTGGATGGAGTTAGGATCCTGAAAAGGAATGATCCAGTGCTTAAGTGAAAGGATTGCCTTTAATTTGGGGAATGGACCCTTCTTTTCATTATCAAAGGAAGGGGAAAAAAAGGAGTGGATGGATGAGGATGAAGTAGAGTGGTGTCTGAGGCTGCTACGTCCTATGAAAAACAGAATTCAAAGTTATTTGTTATGAGGATTAAATGAGTTAGTACATGTAAAGTTCTTAGCGCATAAAGCTAGTACATAAAGTTCTTTGTCACATAACAAATGCCCAGTAAATGTTTGGCGGTGGTGGTATCTGTTGAGAGGAAGGAGCTAGAGTGAGCAGTTTGAGCTAGATGGATGATGCAGACTAGCCGAGTATATGGAAGGACAGTTGACCCATCTGAGGCAAAGGCTTTTTTTTTTTTTTTGAGGTAATTGCAGATTCACACATAATCGTAAAAAACAGCACAGAGATCCTGTGTATCTTTTACCCCGTTTCCCCTAACAATAACATTTTGCACAACTGTAGTACAGTATCACAACCAGTATATTGACAAATACAGTCAAGACAACATTTCCATCACCTTGAAGATCATTCATGTTGCACTTTTGTAGCCACACCCACTTCACTCCAGCTCCCCCACTCCCTGTTTAACTCCTAGCAACTACTTTCTTTCTACTTCTTTTCTCCATTTTTAGGATCTTGTCATTTCAAGAATTTGATATAAATGGAAGTATACAGTATATAAACTTCTGGGACTGGCTTTTTTTTTACTCAACATAATTTTCTGGAGATCCAAGTTGTGTGTATCAATAGTTTGTTCCTTTTTACTGCTATGGTATGGATGTACCAGTTTGTTTAACTGGTAGAAGATAGATATTGAAGAATATCTGGGTTGCCTCAGCTTTTTGTCTATTACAAATAAAGTTGCTATGGAAACTTCTGTAAAATTTTTGTGTGAACCTAAGTTTTCATTTCTCTGGGATAAATGCCTAGGAGTGCAATTGCTCAGTGCAACTGCCCTGTGGTAATTGCATGTTTAGTTTTTCAAGAAACTGTCAAACTGTTTTCCAGAGTGGCTATAACATTTTACATTCCCACCAGTAATATATGAATGATCCAGTTTCTCTGCATCTTAGCCAGCATTTGGTGTTACTACTATTTTTAATTTTAGCTATTCAGATAGACATGTGGTGATATCTCATTGTGGTTTTAATTTCCACTTCCTTAATGGCTAATAATGTTGAACATTTTTTTTCATGTACTTTGCCACCTGTATATCCATTTTGGTGAAATATCTATTCATTTCTTTTGCTCATTTTCTAGTTGAATTATTTGGTGTGTTTTTGTTTTGTTTTGTTTTTTAATGTTATGTTTTGGGATTTCTTTATATATTCTAGATACTAGACCTTTGTCAGATATGTGGTTTCCAAGTATTTCAGTTTGCAGCTTGTCTTTTAACTTCTTAGAATCTTTTGGAAAACAAAAGTTTTAAATTTTGGTGAGGTCCAATTTATCAAGTTTTCTTTTCATATATAGTGATTTTTTAGAAAATTAATTAACTAATTAATTTTTGGCTGCCTTGGGTCTTCATTGCTGCGTGCGGGCTTTCTCTAGTTGTGGTGAGCGAGGGCTACTCTTCATTGCGGTGCGAGGGCTACTCTTCATTGCGGTGTGCGGCTACTCTTCATTGCGGTGTGCGGGCTTCTCATTGCAGTGGCTTCTCTTGTTGCGGAGCACGGGCTTTAGGCACGTGGGCTTCAGTAGTTGTGGTTGACAGGCTCTAGAGCGCAGGCTCAGTAGTTGTGGGCTTAATTGCTCCGCAGCATGTGGGATCTTTCCGGACCAGGGATCAAACCCATGTCCCCTGCATTGTCAGGTCTATTCTTAACCACTGCGCCACCAGGGAAGTCCCTCACATATACTGCTTTTAGTATATGTGCTGCCGAAGCGAGCACCATATACTGCTTTTGATGTCAAGCCTAAGAACTCTTTGTCTAATCTCAGAACTAAAAAAGATTTACACCTATGTTTTTATTTCTTGGTAAAGGTTTTATGATCTTCCATTTTTTATTTAATCCATTTTGAGGTATTTTTTTGTATAAAGTGTCATGTTTAGGTAGAGGATTTTGTTCCCTTCCCTATGAATGTCCATTTGCTTCAGCACCATTTGTTTAAAGGGCTATACTTTCTCCATTATTGTTTTTGCACCTTTGTGAAAATTCATTTCAGTGTATTTGTTTGGGTCAATTTCCGGGTTTTCTAGTCTGTTCCATTGTTCCGTGTATTCGTACATCCTCCAGTACCCACAGTCTTGATTACTGAAGCTATATAATACACCTTGAAATTGGGTAGGCTGATTCTTCCCACTTTCTTCTTCTTTTTTAAAAAAAATTTTAATGATTTTTTTGATGTGGGTCATTTTTTGAAAGTCTTTATTGAATTTGTTACAATATTGCTTCTGTTTTGTGTTTTGTTTTTTTGGCTGTGAGGCATGTGGGATCTTAGCTCGCTAACCAGGGATCGAACCCACACCCCCTGCATTGAAAGGCGAAGTATCAACCACTGGACTTCCAGAGAAGTCCTTATTTTTCTTTTTATAAAGTATTTTAGCTATTCTAATTCCTTTGCCTTTCCATATAGATTTTATTTTATTTTTTAATAGTTAATTAATTAATTGGTTGTTCCAGGTCTCAGTTGCGGCTCACGGGCTCCTTAGTTCCAGCTTGCTGGCTCCTTAGTTGTGGCTTCAGGGCTCCTTAGTTGTGCATGCCGTCTCCTTAGCTCTGGCATGTGAACTCTTGGTTGCGGCATGCATGTGGGATCTAGTTCCCCAACCAGGGATTGAACCCAGACCCCCTGCACTGGGACCGTGGAATCCCAACCGCTGCACCACCAGGGAAGTCCCTCCATATAGATTTTAGAGTAGTATTGTCTATATTACAGAAAATGTTCTTGGTATTTTAATAGGAATTAGGTTAAATCTGCATTTCAGTTTGTGAAGAATTGATATGTTAACAACATTGAATCTTCCAGTCCATGAACACAGTCTCTTTTCATTTATTTAAGCCTTTGATTTATTTCATCAGTGTTTTGTAGTTTTCTGCATATGTGTTCTACATATTTTGTTAGACGTACACCTAAGTATTTAATTTTTATTTTGCACAAGTGTAAGTGGTATTGCATTTAAAATTTTGTTGTCCGTGTGTTCATTGCTGATATATAGAAATATTGGGTTGGCCAAAGAGTTCGGTTTTTTCTATAAGATGGCGCTAGTATCTCTTAGTTGTCTTTAACTTCATTCAAAGTTTTGTTTTTGAATTTTGTTAGATTGCATTGTGACAGCTGTCATATCAGCATGAATTTTTTAAAAAACTTATCAAAATTGGTGAATTTTTATGTAGCCATTTTAATATTGAAGATGGAAGAAAAAAAGCAACATTTTCGGCATATTATGCTTTATTAATTCAAGAGAGGTAAAAACGCAACTAAAACACAAAAAAAGATTTGTGCAGTGTTTGGAGAAGGTGCTGTGACTGAATGTGTCAAAAGTGGTTTGCCAAATTTCATGCTGGAGATTTCTCACTGGATGATGCTACACGGTCGGGTAGACTAGTTGAAGTTGATAGCGATCAAATCGAGACATTAATTGAGAACAATCAACGTTACACCACACGGGAGATAGCCGACATACTCAAAATATCCAAATCAAGAGTTGAAAATCATTTGCACTAGCTTGGTTATGTTAATCGCTTTGATATTTGGTTTCCACATAAGTTAAGCGGAAAAAACCTTCTTCACCGTATTTCCGCATGCGAGTCTCTACTTAAACGTAACGAAAATGTTACGTTTTTAAAACAAATTGTGACGGGTGATGAAAAGTAGATACTGTAAAATAATGTGGAACAGAAGAGATCATGGGGCAAGGAAAATGATCCACCACCAACCACACCAAAGGTCGCTCTTCATGCAAAGAAGGTGAAGTTGTATATATGGTGGGATTGGAAGGGAGTCCTCTATTATGAGCTCCTTCCGGAAAACCAAACGATTAATTCCAACAAGTACTGCTCCCAGTTAGACCAACTGGAAGCAGCACTAGACGAAAAACATCCAGAATTACAGAAAACGCATAATCTTCCGTCAGGATAATGCAAGACTGCATGTTTGTTTGATGACCAGGCAAAAACTATTACAGC